TGGATGCAAACAGGCCAGGCCAACCTGGGAGGGCCTAAAAGTCCTTGGGTTGCTTCTGGTATCTTCTGGTTAAGCAGTGAAACTCTTTCTGTGGTTAATCAGATTTGGTGCTTTGTAAAGTCCTCAAATAGCTGATCTCCCATCAGCAAAGTTCAGACAGAGAAATTAGGCTCCACTAGGAGAAGTGACTTTCTATTCTCCCAGGCTAATAGGCCAGAGGGGACTCTCAGAGGCCCTGCAGGCCAGGCCACCGCCTCAAGGCAGAGCTCTGTCAGGCTGCCTCGAGGCAGGAGGAGTCTCACATTATTTCAAAGAGGGTCCTAAGAAGTGCTATGACAACTTTCTCCTGTATACGAGCTCAGGGTCAGACTTATTTTATTCTCGTATCAGTGTCAGATTAAGACAGTTGGTCCCTTTGCTGAAGATGTTGCCCATGGCTGGTCTGCCCACATGCTGATCTGAGGAAATGTGCCCTAAACAGCCTGCTCCAAAGCACATGACCCATCTCCCCATCTCCCATGATTTGACCAGGGGTGGGCATCCACTCATTGGTGACACACCAATGATGACCAGCGATTGGGATGGCCTGACTCAAAAACATGAGCTAGGATAAATAAACCCTTTCAGGGGAATCTAGGATTGGAAGTAGACAGATTGGGCCAATTGGACACTGACGTTGAAAATGTGGCTATGAAGTGGGGGCTGTGATGCTCGGCTGTGAGCTGACCTTTCTGCAGTGAAGTGGCAAGTGTAAGAAGTGGAGAGCAGAGGTTTGGAGAACGTGCAGAACATAAAGTCACTAAGGGAGGGCTGGCTGAGCTCCTCACAGCTCTCTGTTCCCCTGAGTCCTGGTGGCACTGGGGTTTCTGACTGTGGATTTCTATGATCTAGCTCGAGTAGGTCTCGTCTTCACAGCAAAAAGTGCTTTGTCTAAGACTGCTGCAATCTCTTTAAAATGTTCGCTCAAATGCCAGGAGCTCGAGGCTAGATCCATCTTAATATGCCCTTCTTTAACCCAAGGAATTCCATGTATTTAGCTTTTCCTCAGAGGACCCATTTTCCAAGGCTTTAATCCTTATGATGTCTTTCTCTGATCCCTCCTAAAGATTTCCAAATTCTTCATATCCCATTGCTTTGATTGCTGCCAGTGTTGCCCCTGGGGATTGCCAGGACTGATTTTAGTGCGCACTGCGCCCCTGGTCAT